TTGACATGCACTAACAAAGAACCAGTCAACAGAGGAACCAATCGCATTTAAGCAGATTCGAAGAGCACCCAGCAAGATTGTCTATACACTAATAACACTGATTTTGCGTAGGATTATTAATCATAACAACGGAATCAGTATGTCAATTTGAGGACTTTTAAACCTTTGTGAAGTGTTGCCCAAGTCAATGAAAACAGCCAGATCTAGGATTTTAGCGACCAATGGAGCCGTAGGCCTCGACCCTGTGTGCGGAAATTCCGGAAACTGGCCTCGAAATTGCCAAGCGGTCGCATAGAAACTCCATGTAACTCTGGTCTGACGAACACTTTAACCTTTTGTCATCGATTTTTGGTTTCTTGGGTTCCGTGCACTCTATCAATCAATATCTTGCGTCCTAACCCAGACTAGAAGACTTATTTAAAATTTTGAGCGCACGTTTACCAAATTCAGCATGAATGTGGTAGACTATTTGTGTAGTGTGTGTATCATATTGGCTGATGAGATATGAGAATGTTAAGGCTACTCATTCTGTTGTTCACCATGAGACCGCGTATAGTTTCCAAACGACCACGCGGCCTAACGTAAATGTACAGATTGAGTTTTTTCCAGCTACTGGTTCGTGATCAGAAATCTGAAAATGAATCTTTTTCTTAGATCTCCCTTCATGAAGCATTTTGGAACCTCGGAAAAGCGGTTAAGAGGTTGAAGTATTAATGTAATCATCCACTTCACCAAATTAGTGCACAAATATTATGGAAGTTCCCATCACTAACAACTAGATCTTCCTCATGAAGCATTTTGGAACCTCGGAAAAGCGGTTAAGAGGTTGAAGTATTAATGTAATCATCCACTTCACCAAATTAGTGGCAAAATATTATGGAAGTTCCCATCACTAACAACGGCAAACACTGTGAATCATATGCATTTTCAGCGTTCATTTGTGCCAGTGAGTCATTGGTTTGCACCTCCGGTGATTTCGATAACCAAGGAAAAACGATCGGAGATGAAAGAAGGCATTAGGGCCGGATTATGAGGTATAAAAGAGAAAGGTGATGCTACCTAGATTGGATGCAGGCTCACTACCAACTACCACGAGAGAGTTATCACTTGGATCCCAACCTGGCAGAAGGCATTGACCAACTTTTGCTTAAGAATGTGGTCAAAACTCCTCTAGTACACGACTGGTACATTAACTGATAACCACTCCTTCGTTCCTCTGTCGTTGGGTCTCTGAAAGAGACGCCTCGTGTGAAAGTGACTCTTTACCATTTCAAGGCCAGTAGGGGCTCTGTATTTCCAGGGCTTAGCTTTGGACCATTGCCAAATAAGACAAGTAGATGGCAGGGGCAATAATGATAAAAACCCGAGAGCTTGTGTACATAATTCTCCCGGAGGAGCTCGGCTTTCGAACTGTAAGGAAATAATCACAAAAAAGCACCTCAAACTTTGTCGTTGATGGACAGCAGCAAACGCAGAGCGCGCTTCGCTTATTCTGAGAGATGTTTCGTCCGTGAAAACACTGGTGTTTTTCGACAGTCACAAGTAGGACACGTATTGTGTAGCCGTCTGGAGCATTTCCCTCTCAGTCTCGTACCAAGCTCTTAAACCATGAAGGTGCAAAGTGTATGCGGTTAAACCCCACCGGTTTTTTAAAGGACTGCATACTGTTTGCATCTTTGAGGGTGAAGACCTGAAAGTTGTCTTCCCCACGCTCGATGTTGGTTAGTATGCCACCGTGGGAAGTGTACTTCAAAAGAGATCGATCACTGTGTGGTTGCGAATTCATTGTCGAACCACTTAGCCAGAAGTAGGACCTGCGTGTTCTACTAAACGAGTAGGTCTCTCCAAGTGTTTTTTTTAATCAAAGACAATTTATACTTATTCCTGTGTGCTTGAAAACAAGGGGAAATTGTTTCTTAACCTCAACGTAGGATATCACCTCCCTGAAACGCTGTTTTCTTTCTGAGTTAAATTTATAGTCCGTTATTGAGCTGTCCGGTCAGTATGAACTGTGTGGAAGGGCAGAGGATGGAAACTTGTGGGAGGGTCAAACGAATAACACCCAG